ATGGTGAAACACTTTCTAGAGTATAACTAACCCAGCAGGCTACATACCAAATACAAGTGAATTTTTAACTCATTAAGTTTTCCTCCAGATTCAGAGTTGGCCGTGCCAGTGTCCCTTTTCATAGTGAAAATCTGAATATTTAGAGTTTCACTGTGCGATGAAAAACCTGGATTTCATTCAAGGACTTACTTCCTACCTCTTCATTTTTTATGCACTTTATGCAGGGGCATGAACTGTCATTGGAACTGCACTTGAAATTTAAGTGATTCATCTCTTTTCTCTGCCATTTGAAAGGAGGGCTTTTTGAGCATCTGCTTTTCAAACTGTGAGCACCAAGCAGAACACTTAAGCTCAGAAGAAGTCAAAGCTTTAACCCACTTTTTCCAAGTGAGTTAAGCAGGTTCTATATGACCTGATTTTACAGAGCCCTCCAGCCAGGCCACTGGATCCCACTGGAAGGCCCACTGAGGAAAGCTGGTGAGTTCTTGGACTAAGGAACATGAAAAATAAATGTATATCTTGACATTCTGATTTAAACTAATGTTTAAAATATTGTTATTTTCCTTTCTGAAGAAGAAGGAGCTTGAGACATACCACACCCTGAGTTCCTACTATATATCTTTGTGGGGAGAAGATGTCTGACAAAGCACTCCAGTGGAATGGGATTCAATCATACCTGGTGAGGGTCTTGCACACAGACTTGGACCCAAGTTTCCAGCACCCACTGACTCTATTCCTCTGAAACTGAATTTGGCACAAGTGTGTCTACCAGGACATTTTTTAATGCAGCCTGGTCCTTACAGTAGGAAAAGGCAATTCATTTTCATTCTCTATAAGAGTCAAGTGTGAACTTAACAAATATTTAAAATGCTTGTTTGCCCAAGCTCCACCACTTATCTACCACTCCGTGAGCAGAGAGCAGGAATCTACTCTCCTTGTTATAGTCAGATCTCTTCATGTTCTCTGGGAAAAACGTTTGGGAAAGAGCTACTTTTGGTTTCACTGAAGTATCTTTGAGTTGAGGTCAATGTTGGCACTACTAATAATGATATTGCTATAGATTTAAAACAAAATTAAAGTATATTTCCTAGTATTCTTTCAATGGATGAATATCCTGGACAGATTCCCCTGACTCAAAAACCACAAGAAACCTGTGAGGAATAAGTAATAGTAAGATCTGTGTAAGGCTCTCCCAGCCTTATGAAGTGTGGGGAAATAGAAGTTCAGGGACTTATACCCAGACCCAAATTGCATGCAAAGCTTTCCAGAAGGCAGTTCAGAGCAAACCTATGACAAAGAAAAGGCATAAGACAAAGATAATAGGCATTCCTAGGGTCATATTTTCGGGGTAGGTGAAGCAGGCACAAAGTTTCTGTGAAAAATACGAAAACCAATGAAAAACCTAATTCACAGGGAACTCTGCTTACTGCCTGCCAAAACTAACTGTGTCTTGCTAAAAACTGGCAAACTAGGGAGAAAAATTAATGTCATTTTCTTTGTGGGTTTATGTTTTGGTTTGTTGCTGTTAATTAAGGCATTAATCCAGTGGGGCGTTAAAAAAGTTCTTTTGATGCCTTTGAAAATCATCTGGACCCAGCGTACACAACTCATCATTCCATTTCTCATCTTGCTTTAATCAGGTGTAAAAACAGCCTAATTGAAAGGATTGGAGTGATGAATCACCATCTGGAGGCAGCTGCACAAATGATATTCTCAAAGAAATTATGAGCTTCTAGGAGACGTTTGTATCTGAACTTGGGGTCCCTGATCCTCAGCCACCCAGGAGCACGGCTGGGACACACTAAAAGGCCCTTCTACCCTCAGTGCCCAGGCTTTCATCTCATCAGAGGTAGGGAAATGAAAGCTGTGTCCAGCAGATGAGTTCTGCTACAGAGCTGGGGCACAGCCAAGGCAGGTATTTGCACCTAGAAACACAGAAGCACTCCTAAGTAATGTATTTTTTTGCATATATTTTATGTGCCCTTACAATTGAAAATTAAAGCCTATTTAGAGAACAGAGAGTATTTGTTCCTATAAGCATTTTAGAGATCTTGAAATTTTCCACATTATGGAGTATGTTGTACTAAATGAAAGTGTATTGCTACGTACTGCCTAGAGAACAAAACAGACACCATCGTCTGGCACTGTAAAAATGTAGTTTTCATCTAGATCTGGATTATCGTTTGCTTTTCTGCCTCCCCCCCCGCCTTGCCCTCCCTCAAGCCAAAAAGAATATAGTAGATCTAGGAAAACAATGTAACAACAACAATATATGAAGATACCAGTAGAAATTAAATAGGCTAGGATCCTTCGCTGGAAAAAAGAAAACTTTATAGACGAATATAAGCGAGTAGGATAATGAATGGAACAGGGAAAGTGAATGGGGACTAGTTATTTCTTTTCTTTACGACATAAGGACTATAGGGCACTGAAGAAAACTTCCAGGAAGATATTTCATAATGGAAAAAAATAATTTTTCCACTCAAACTGTCTAACCTTGGAAACAAGATATTGCAGATTAAAATAAAGAGATACGAAAGTGATTAGATAAATTCATATGACACATTCATAGAGAGCCCAGTTATAAAGCTGTAAATATAACCTCCTGCCCAATACCCTAAACCATAGCTTGCTGGAAGCTCTACTAGCATTCCAGAGGGTTACCAGATATGTATCCAGACTTTTCATTATGTCCATAAAAAACTGTTCTTTATTTTGATGAAGACCCTCCAGTCTCAGTATTCAGCACAGCTAGTCATGCATTTTTAGGCAAGCAGCTCAAAAAAAAAAAAAGTTGTAGGAATAATGCTTAAGGACCACAAGAATTTAACTAATTTACTAGATCTTTAGTGTGACAGGTGCTAAGGGAACTCTGTTCTGCACTGATTTGCTGTAATTTTCAAAAGCTTGAGATGTAAAAAGTACTTGAGGTTTTTTCCTTCTTATTCTGATTTAAACTGTTGCTAGTTTGTTCACAGGTAGAGGAAATACCTGAGAAACACATGCAGGTTAGAAAGCAGTGTAACAAATAACGGAATGACAAGGAGCAGGGAGGTTAGAAAAAAAGAAATTGTACATTGGTACATACATTTCATCTGTTGATGTCATCTGTGATTGTACTTTATATTTGCCAGTAAGAACTTATGTAGGCATGTATGTAAGTATAAACACACACACACATATCTCAGATTCTCCTTTTCTGTCCTGTATGAAAAACAAGTGGAATCCAAGATACACACAGCTCAGGTTGTAACAGATGATAAGATTAGAAAAGGAGGGAGAACGTCTCACCTGGAGATAACCTAGCACAGGGACTTATGCAGGCAGCTCCACCACAGCCTGCATGACCTTCTGTCCCTCATGTGGGGATCCTCATTTCCACATCTATGTTCCCATGTCTTCTTTACCCACTCTGTCTAACTGTGCTTGCACTGCAACGCAGCTGAAGACTGGGACCATCCATTGCAATTCCTGAACGCAGCAGTGGTCACCACGAGTTGGTCTTCTGTGCAAGAAGCTGATGAGAAGCAGAAGTATTTACAGCAAGACAGGCAGGAGAATCCCCAACAAGGCTTTGCTGTAAAACCAAGTCCTTGAAGATTTCAGGGAGCAGACTGTGTGGGGGAGTTTTTTTCCCAAAGATTACAAATCTTTTCTGCCTTCTTAAAGTTTGTGTGTGCAGGAAATTCCTGTGGTTTCTGCACTTGTTTGCTCAGGACTCACAAAAACACAACTCAAGTCTCCAGACAGACACTTAGAGAAGGTTTTCTAGAAGGAAAAGCCTAGCAGTGGGAATGAAAGCACAACCCACTCTCAAAAGGATTCCACACTGTATTAGTCTGTACCACTGGACACGGGTTGCACACTGGGTGCAGGCCTGTATTAGTCTGTACCATAACACTGGTTACACACTGGGTGTAGGCTGTAGAGCTGAAAGCAATCATCCCTCCCAGTCCAAACTCAGAGGAAGTAGGACTCAGCAATTAGAGTCCTTTATGACAGATTTGGACCCATTTGGGAAGCAGGATCTTAAAGTCCCGGATCATAAACAACTTCTTTGCTCCATTCAGTTATGACTGTTTTGTTTTAGAGGAGATGTTAAGGCTCTTGAAAAACTGTTATTTCCAGGTACTTTATTGAGGCCTTGGCCTGGAGAAAAGATTCAGATTTTTTCTATTAATATTCCTGCTGATACTAACCTGCTTAAAATACAGGTGACTTTGTGGAAGTCCCACCTGCAACAGAATTGAGATCCAAATAATTGCTTATCAAAAGCTTTTAAATACACAAGTTAAAAACAGTGAAATGTTCTGTCATCAAAGTAACACTGGGCAATATAAATTGGTTTTGGAGCTCTGGGACAGAAATAGTGTGATTTGATGGGTTTTTTCCAATTACTAAAGCTAAACCATAAATGACTGGCTGTATAAGCAAGAGTAGTGTTGTTAATTGCAGGGACTTGGTGCAATGATAGCCTAACAACTAATTTTTTCATGACTGTCCCTTGACAGCAAATTTCCTAATTACCCAATGCTTGCTTGCCCGCCCCAGTCTATCAGAATACTTAGTGTTTTCTAGTCTCTGAGAGAAGTGAGAGCACGCTAAATGTTCCTTTTATTCTGCAGCTAAACAGGAGAAAGAAACATATTAAAGCATGTCATAGTCTTCCAGAGATATGTATTTTATATGCATTCCTATAGTTGCAACAGCTTTTTTTGCAGGAACTGTTCTAATCTGTTCTTGCAAATACTTTCGTTTCACCCTTAAGCTGTTTCAGCTTCCCACCTCTAAAGCTTATAATGAAGATGTGATGCTGACACCCAGAGGAACACAGGTATGAATGTAAATACATTGTATTAGTCTGTAACTCTCATTCAGAACGTGTTTCTTAATAAGACATCTGTTTAAATTGAGACATGAAAGTCTGTAATGCAATATTCCCTCTGTGAATAATCTATAAGGTAGCAGACGCGTTACAATGAGTAACCAGTAACAGTGGGTTTTCCAGCAATCCAGTTTAATAGTTTCTTCATATGTCTGTGTTTATACATCAAACAAACTTCAAACAAAACAAAACAAAAAAATTAATATACAATTCAAGAAAACACCCAAAGCTTTTACACTTTTGGCTTCCCCTTTGTCATTTTGCAATTATGTACAAGACTGTCTTATTTGCAATACCTGGTGAGGATTGAATGATTTATTTACATCAGCTGATGCATTTCACTGTGCAATGGAGCTATCTCCTTTTGCCATTTACATTCCTAGTTGCAAGAGCCCACATTTAGGTGCTATTTATGGATAGGGTTCAAGAGATGGACTGAAACAAGACAAGATTCTCACTACTGACCACAAACATATCTCTGAAATCCCATTTTCAGATGTAGCTGAAGGAAGATTCCAGAACCTAGTGCACTGATATAACCATTATATCAGTCAGCACAATAAGATATCTTCACTGAGAATAACATTCCCACTCATGTTAGAGTGAGATAAGTGTGAGCTGGACGAATAATATCTTTTCAGGTGCAGCAGACAAAATGTATAACTCTAGTGCTAAAGCTACACCTTACTTCTCCTGTCAGAGACCTCCAAAGCAAATGAAAACACAAGTGTTCTATCTTTTTAAATGTTTGGAGGAGAATATCTTACAATTTTTCTTACACAAAAGATAAAATTAGGAGGGAAAAATTATCATTTTATCATAATATGCAAACTGTTTCATAGAAACACCAAATAACTTGGTTTGGAAGGGACCTATGGAGGTAATCTATTCCTAATCATTCAAAGCAGGGCCAGCTTCAAAGTCAATCACCTTTCAACTTCAACCAGATTGTTCAGGGCTGAGTACAGTCAAGTTTTGAATATCTTTAAGGATGGAGTTTGCACAACAACTGGGCGCCTGTTCCTATGTTTGACCACCCTTATTGTAAAAAAATTTCCTATAACTGAATCAGGACTTTCACCTTGAAGGTATAACCTAACACCCATGGAATATATCATATTCCTTCTATTGAGAACAAGAGTTTTACTGCATCTGTAAACCAAGTATAACAAGCATTATTCTTTCAGATTTCAGAAGGAATAGCTCATTTTTCCATTTTTTCTGATATCTAGTTAGTGGGTTGTCACCACTTGAAATATTTTCATAGCTTAAATCACAGTGCAAGATATGCACCATCCATGCTCATCAAGAAATCAATGCCATACTTCCACTTCCTTCATCTGTGATAAATCCAACATTTTGTACATTACACAGCTGTTGCAGAACAGCACGTTTATGAAAGCATGACTAGATGCAAATTACTCACACAAAAGGCATGAGAGTTTCAGCCTGGAATCCTCTCAACAAAGACAAAATCTGTTTTTTTTGGGGAGCAAAAGTCAGGACTCTTTGTAATAGCAACACGTGCCTGAGGTTTTGAAATCCGTCTTTTGCCATTGACTGCTATGGTTTTTGATTATCAAACTTGTTTTTTCTCTCCCAGCTTGAAATATACAATCTACAGAACAACTTCCTCCAGTAACAGAGGCTCCTCACAACCAAAAGGTTTTTCTGATGTCTGTTCAAAGGCAGGCACTCACCCAAGTTTTTCGATCTTCACAAAACATTACATGACTATCTAGAGTCATGTACCCTTTACTTCTCTAGCCCTGGTGAATAAAGAAAACAGACAAACTCAAATCAGCTCAGTCTTCATATTCAGCCTTAAAATCCACCTAAGATACATCACACATCAGTGTGATTAAAACACAGATAGTCATATATGACAAAGTACTGTATCCAACCTGGAAAATCTCATGGTAACACAGGCCTCTTACATAATACACATTTTATGACAGTAACAGTCATGACTGGAATACGAGACTGCTGATATGTGCATGTATATTGGTCATAATTGTTGACCAAGGTATGTGAAGCTTGATAATTGGAGCTACTTCTCTGATTTTGTATCTTTAGAAATAAATAGCAAAAAAAAAAAAAAAAAAAAAAAAAAAAAAAAAGAAAAAACACCACCTGGTAATTCTGGACATCAAAATAAGCCAGGCTTATTTTTACCTAGAGAGACAATTTTTTTTTCCTAGAGAGAAAGATAATATTAAAAGAAACACATATTGAAAGGATGATGGTTTCATTCACATGGCAGGTCTCACTCATTGCGTTTAGCAGAAAGTATGGCTTTCCCTGTATAATCCCCTAAAAAAATCCAGCCTTTGGTAGAGTAAATGAGATTCAAAATATTCTTTTCCCCATTATACAGACGCACTGAGTAGCTCCTACCATCAGCATGACAGAGGTGTGTGGAGGGAAAGAAATGTAAAATCACATGTTAAAAAATAGGTTCTGATTGCTGCAGAAATCATCACAGCTGAACAGAGAAACTATGTTCCATTGGCATTTCAGCAGAGTTATAAGATGCGGCAAGATGTTGCATTTCTATTCTCTTTCTTGGTTTGGTTTTGCTTTCTCAATACTTGTCTGATAAACCACAGATCATTCTCAGGCTATAGCAACAAATTATCTCTTTGAAGGTCTTCCTCATTTCCTGGCTACGAAAGGCGTAAATCAAGGGATCGATCACTGAATTGCACATGATGAGAATGAGGTACATGTTGAAGTGAGACATGAAGCAAACACAGTAGAGGTTTTGAGGGCAGGAGATCATCAGGATGAGATGAAGGAAGAATGGAGCCCAGCAAACAATGAAGATGCCAAGAAGCATAGTCAGAGTGATGGCTCCTTTCATGCTGGTTCTTTGGCGGACAGAGTTGTACCCAGGCAAAGCAGCAATTTTCTTCACATGAGTACGAGCCAGGAGGAACATATGGATGTACAGTGAGACCATGAGGAACAACATGGTAAAAAACATAGTGATGAGACAAATGACCACGTAAGTTGATTCATAATAAAGAATGAAGATAATGCCACAGCCCGTGCAAAAAGTCCAGATGCATGCAATAATAAGCCCTGATCTTTTCGCTGTCATGATGTTGTGATAACGCAGGGCATAGAAGATAGTGATGTATCTGTCTACTGCTATAGCCAACAAACTGCACATGGAAGCCACCACAGATATGCAAATCATTGAATCAAAGACATTGTCTATATGACGGACAAAGGCATCTTCCATAATGATGTGTCTATTGTTTATTAAGTATATCGTTATGGTCTCCCAAGCATTAGACACACTAACCAGCATGTCAGCCACTGCTAAACTGCAAACAAAAAAATACATTGGTGAATGCAAGTTCTTGTTCTTAACTATTGCACATATAACTAAGATGTTTTCAAGCAGGCTTACGATGCCCAGAGTTAGGAACACCTCAGCTGCAATGACCACTTGCTCACATGGCGATGACTTGCTCTTGACAGTAGGCCCAGTAAAGTTGCTACCAAAGGCACTCAAGTTTAGTTCAGAAACATACAATTGAGAGGACGTGTTCATGTCTGGAAGCTAACACATTCTATTCCTTCTGAGGGGCTTGCCAAGGAGTGTGATAAATGCATTTTCCAAAAGATAAAAGATCCTGCCAAAAAAAAAATATATTACGATGAGTACAGGCAGAAGTTGACAAAATAAATATCACCTGTTTCTATTTAATTTGGCTCATGCATGTCCTGCCACTTCCACACCGTATTCCTCTACTGATTCTAAATTAACCTTTGGTCAGCTCAGAGATTTTCTACCCATCCTTACTGGGAAATTAAAACAACAAACTAATGAAGAGATTCACCCACCCTTCATTTATTCTTTTGTTTATTCTATTTGGTCCCCTGGAATAATCCCCCAGATTTTCCTGGAAATTCTGCTGAAAAAACAAACAAGCAGTTTTCACAGTCCTGACTCTCAGACTCCAGAAATGTAGGAGAATGTAGTATTAGGTCCAGCAGAAACCACTCACTTGAATACAATATATAGAAGTTTTGATCATTGTCACAATTAAGAATTGAATATTTTCAGTTACATAATTAAATGCTTTCCTGACCTTTGTACTTTTAAGTTTGCATGAACTGTGCTATAAACAGTTTATCTGTGCAATACTAATATGCTCATTTAAAAGCATTAATGGTATTAAACACCTAACCAAGGCAAATCCATACATTTCAGGATACACTAAGTTTACAGAATTAGTGTGGGTAGAAGTCGTTGTAGCATAAGTTTTCTATTCCAGATCATTAATATTTTATTCAATTTTTTTTTGTAATGACAATATTTAGGACAAGTTGTAAGCCATTCTATTCTTAATAAGTGTAACACTTAGAGTTGTTTGTCAGTGACTTGTTGCAAATAAAATTCAAAGCATATAATGCTAAACAATTTTCAGTTTTTAAAGTAGCTTTCTATTTGCAGTGAAGAATTAACTGTACCTATTTATCAGAGCTGCTCCTTCAGCTGCTCTTCCTCTTCATCGCCTGCAACCTTTCCTCCAGAGAGCTGAAGTTTCAGCCCCCCTCCTCTCCCAACATCTGGGGCTGGGGATTCCTTGGTGGGAATAGATGGGAAAAAAAAATAGAGGGAAAGGAATGAGCAAATCCATAGAGTCAAAGCTGATCGCGTATAAATTACTTACTGTGCAACTGCCTTTTTATAGACTCCAAGCAATAATGACTTCAGTACTCAAACTGTGGCTCCTCCTCCCCTTCTTTGCCCCTCTGGACTTCTCTTTCCACAGATCTCGTAGCAAAGGATTGGTTTTTTACCACCATCTAGTGGTCTTCTCCTGTCTTTCTAACTGAACAGTGATTCTGATCTGAAATTCATTACGACCATTCGATAATATTAAAGGGGGAGATGTACTAGGCATGCTCCTTTCCAAAGCCATAGAGTTGTTTCTTTTTTATTTTTTTGTTTTCTTTGCTGTTGCTAGTATACTACCAATAAGTTCATGCTGCAATAGTGCTCCAAAAGGGGTGAGAACAGAAGACTCTTATTGAAGTGAGAGATTTATTACTGTTGTAAGCATTTGCATTATATTCAGTTTGGGGTTTTTTTCAGAAATAAGAACCGACTGTTACAAATCTCAGGGAAGAAGATATATTCAAATAATTTGCATAAAAAAAATAGAACAAATAAACGGTTGTGTTCTGTCTGCCTCGCTAGAACCAAGATTTCAGTGTAGAAATGGAAGGAACACACAGTATCATGCCAGGAGCCAGGGCTTCCCAAAATGTATGTGAATTCCCCAAGGTTTCATGGGACCTAAGAAATATTAAACTCAGGACTCAGTATTCTGATGGTTAAAGTTCCTCTGTGGGTCTAGCAGTCAGGCAGCTGATGTTCCTTCTGGGCCTTAACCAAAAGGTGGTAAAATCAGTGCAAGTCTTTAGCAAATCGTCCCTGCTTCTGTGTGTAGACTGGTGAATGCAAAGCACACAGTTTCCTGACACTGCCAAATGCCCTCCATGTTACTTACTAACCAGATAGTCAAATGCCATTCAGTATACAAAGTCTCTGCATCTCCAAATCACCACTTTTCCACAAATTAGTGGGTTGAATTTTTTTTGCAGTGTATAACAGTTTCAAATGTTCATTTTTAGCCTATAATATTTTTTTTAAAGAGTCACCACCACCAAACACTAATTTTACTGCTATATTCTGTGCCATTTTGTATTCAGTGTTCAGCTAAAGTTTATGCATTGAAACCACTGTATGAAATATTCTTACGTACAAATAGTCCCTGCAGCAAAGGTGACAGTGAAAAGCATCTTTATTATTTTGAGTAAAATGTCTCCTCGAGCATTATGCAGTTATAGTCAGGAGATGAAATTTGCCTATCCCTTCTCCCCAGTACGGGAAAGAGAATTTAGATTATCACAAACGAGAGGTAGCAAACTATGCTCAAGTGCAGCTGTTCAGTCTGAGTGGATGCCAGCTAGCCAACACACACACTCCCTGCTGTATCTCACCTGTGTGCCAATTCTGAGCTCATAGCTCTTTGCTGTGCCCAAAAGAAAAGTATAGAGAAGGGTCACCTGCAGTTCTCTTCCTGTTCTTTAATGGAAAACATTTTTTTTGTTATCTTTGATTATCTTTTGCATAGCTTTTGATTTTCCCATTTCAGACCTTGGAAATTAGATACCTAACAGTAAAATTTTACTTCTTTTGGTGTTCTTATATCTAGAAAGAACTGTGCAGACGTTGTGCTCTTTCCACTTCCAATTACGTCTCTTGCAGCAAATTGCTTTGTTATTGATGTTGTTTATTATATTTATTCTATTCTTTCCATTTACAAATTTCTCTGTATGTTCAGTTTAACAGAGCTCTTGGCAACCAGCTTAGCTGCCTTTACAAAAGTTCTCAATGTACCTGGTAGGACTTGGTAGACCAGCCAATTACAAGAAATAAATCACACATCAGACTGGATGGTTTGGCTGTTATTCCTTAGAGCAATGCCAAGATTCTCATATAAAAATTATGAATCAGCCTTTGGATTCTTGTTCCACAAGCCAGACACTGCAGGCATAAATCTTGGTACAAGTGTCTATGCTATGCAAAGAAACTCCCTTGTTTACAAAGCTTGCAGAAAAATTGCCTGCCTGCAAAATGGGTAGTGATACAGATGAATTTTTTTTTATATTAGATGATAAAATGGAAAAATACTTCCCTCCCCACCTCACCCCAAAAAAAAGAATTTTGTCATTATATTGCTGCAGTAAACAGCTCTAAATGTTATGGCTCGACAAGCAAATAACAAAAGGGACATGAAGTAGCAGTGGGTGAAGGCATGCAGGTGAGTTATGAGGATTTTAAGTAAAGGGGTACAGGAGCAGATCTTTGGATTCCCTTGGGAAGAATCCAAGAATGCCTTCACCTTCCAGCTGGAGGACTCCTGAATGAATAGGCTTGTCTTTCAGATGTTCATGACTTTAGTGTTCAGCTCCCTTGACTGTTCAGTTAAATAAATTCTCTAACTCTACCAACAAGTTGGCACTCAGTGCCTTCCCAGGTCACAAAGGTCATGTCTGGACTGTCAGTGAGAGCAAACAGTAATGTATGCATCACAAAGCCTGAATTGGTATTTAGCTATAGGCTGTACCAACACAGTACAGGACCTGACCTGGGCACCCTGAGGAATACACTGAAGCTCCCATTCTGTTCTCAGTCCACCATTTTCTTTTCACAGATGCAAAGAGGAAGAGAGGTTGAATGGGGGCCCTGGGGTACAGGTTCACAGGTCTCCCTGCAGCATAGAAACAAGGACAGCTGGGTATACGTGAAGGAACCTGGATCTGGAGCCATTGACAGTGCTACTGAGGTCCATGGTCATTCCAAAAGGGACACTAAAATGTATCCTTAGGAAGAGGTCTTTTTATGTAATAATGGCCAGTCTTCGCGAGCGAAGATTTGGGAAAGGTCATTAACCCTTCGAGCCTGCGCAGTGGATTTTTTAGGTGAGACACAGCGTGCGCTGAACTGAGCCCACCCTTTAATCCTGAGGTTCATCTGCCGGGGCCGAGCAAGCTTGGACAGTGGCAGTGAGGTCCTCAGAACATAGGTTTGTTTAGAGTGACCTTCTCTTAGATGAATTGTCTTACAAGGCTAACGAGCTCCATCTGCCCGGGGGGCTGGGAATCGAACCCGGGTCGCAGCGGTGAGAGTCCTGCACCCTAACCACTAGACCACCAGAGGCCCCCGCTGCGACCCGGGTTCAATTCCCAGCCCCCCAGGCAGATGGAGCTCATCAGCCTTGTAAGGCAATCCATCTAAGAGAAGGTCACTCTAAACAAACCTACGTCCTGGGGACCTCACTTTTTATGTACTTCATGTAACATCTTACATGGTGTAAGGAAAAAATTAAATGCTAGAATCCCCTGTTTCACTGAACTCAACAAAAAATTTTGTTGGGTTCCAGGAAAAGAGATAGAAAGTGTTACAGAAAGACATCAGTGAACAGAAGAAAGAAGTGAAATAGGGTTTCAGCAGAGAAAGAGATACCAGGGCCTGTTTCTGTCCGATGCCATTTTTTTCAATTGTGAAGTGGTGAGAGAGAGCAGAAGCCACTTTAGATACATATCTGCCTCTTGGGCTTCAAAAGCAGCCATAACAATGCCCCTGGCAGAAAGAGCCAGCCCTTGCCTGCCATCAGCACCACTGGCAATCATGCCAGAGCTCCCCTTCATCCAGCACATCCACTGGAACTACCCTGACATGTAGGTCAAGTTAAACCATGTCAAAACCAGCAGGGAATTGCATGCAATTCACAACAGCAAGATACTGATTTTATCAATAAATATATAAGTGGGGCCAACAGCAGAACCTGCACGTGCCCCCAAAGACGTTTCTGTAAGAATAGGTAGTTACGCTCAGATGCATTCGGGTATTAATCTGTTCTAATCTTAACAGGTTCAGAGATGAGTGTTAGTGAGGTTAATACAAATCTACCAAACTTGTCCAGTGCTACTACATTCAAGCAATTCAATTTCAATGTCCTTCTCAAGCTATTTTTATCTATTGGATGAAAATACATTTGTTCTTTGTAACATTTCTTTGGATTGGTGCTCTTGGTCTGTTTATGAAATCCTTCTTCTCTCTACTTCTTGCCTATGCTGTCATTAGCATATTTCACGGCCACAGAGATCTCTTGCAGACTGCTGCAAGAGATAAGGCATGGATCACCAAAAGGGAAGATCATGGCCTTTTGAATCACATAACAAATGTTCTCTAATTTCTCAGACTGAGAAAATTATTTCTTTTGACCTCTGTGCTGAGTAGCCTTGTCTGAGTCTCATCAAGGTCCCCACTATTACCTCCCCAGCATTACCAGCCAGTTAGACTTTAATAAAGACAGGCAATTAATTGAAATTTAAAAAAAAAAAAAAAGGCATCATTACTTCTTGTCCTTAAATAAAGAAACCTGGATGAGGTGGTGGTAAACTGTAGTTCAGTCCCCTTGCTTTTCAAGGGAACAGCTGGAAACCTAAAAGTTAGGCTTTGCAGTAAATTGTGGCATAGTGAACACTTTCTTTTACATCACGGCCATAATCTTCAAATCAACATTTGATTTTTTTTTTTTTCAAAAAGAAAAGCAAGACTGTGAAAAGACATCAAAATATCACACAAGCTGTGCCCTGTTAAAGGGTAGGATCAGCCATACTTAGTATGACTGCACTACACTAGCACTTTTGTTTATCAACCCTTTCATCTGAGCCTTCAAAATGGTTTGAGATCATCTCTTGTCACTCTCAGTACCTATTTGTGGTGCTCCTTGCATTAGAGTAGAAAGCTGAGAAAGAGTATAAGGCAGTTAAGAAAGACATATCTTAATAACCTTAACTGGATGATGCTGTAAATAGCCTCCTAAACTGTAAAAGAGTAATAAGAGGTGTAGTAACCATCATTTTTATGTGTCTCTAATTAGAGCCAATTCCAGTACTGAATCATCCCCTAGAATTTTATTAGAGGGTGGGTCAGAAGTACAGACCTGGTGAATCACATAAAATTGCCAGCTGCAGACTACACAAAGCACTGATGACCAGCAGAAGACTGTGGAAACTTTCTGACAGAAGAGTAATTCAATAATCTACAAATAGACTGGGATAAAGAAAAAAAGCAAACAAACCATTTAGCAGGTTCTTACTAGATACTTTTTTCTGGGAAGACTGGTTGACACCCTAGAGCGCTGTGAAACCCTTCAGAAGGACCTCAATAGT